ACTACTACTACTACTACTATTGCTGCAGCCAATCGAGCATGCAGGCGGCTCCAAGCAACGTGTCCCGCGAGCGCAACTTTGTCAAGCTTACTGGGTGCTGGGCTATGTTGCTAGCTAAGTTACGAGGACTGGTACTCGTCGTACGTAGTAGCAGCCGAGTAGTATCATACTGATAGTGTCATCATTCTCGTTACCAGCAGAACAACACTGAAAGTCGTAGCATGTGTAGCGGCAACATAGCCAGTGCTACTGCTGCTATGCCTAGGCGTATTGTCCTACTGCTGTCACTCTCAATCTGGCAATGGATGGCGGCAAGGTCCGGATGAGCTTCTAGGATTGCGTTGCTGGTAAGAGCATGATGGTCCTGATGGCCATGGCCATCGTGATAGCATCGTCTTTGGCGATTCTCGCATGAATTGCCGCTGGCGCCAAGAGGAACGCTGATGATGCATGTCGATGATTTTGGTGCGGTAAAGACGATGATGTGCAATAGAGGCGAGGATGACTGATGTTTGATGTGTGTTGTTTTCCTTTCCACATTCCTATTTGGTTCCGGGGCTGGTTTCTCGGAACCTTGTGGTAGATAGAGGATTGAATGAGCGGAAACAGCTTTAGTCCCTGCATAAGCATACAACACACCCCGCTTTCAGAAACATCACGGCTACTTTTTCAGGTCCCTACATGCTGAATCCCGCTTCGTACGGCGCTTTTTGAATTTTGCCTATCGGGGTTTAGGGTTTTGCAGTTTAGAGTGGTTAGGGTTGCTAAGTTGCAGGATATTCGCCACAGGTGCTGCAAGTTGTGGATTTAGTGCAACCTTTGTTTTGCGAAGTGAAAGTTTGAGTTTCATGATGTCCATCTATGGAAATGTGAGAAGGTGACCACATGTTCCTTCCATTGATTCATAGCATCCATCGGAATCTTCCGTGTATTGATCCCTGTGGGCTTACACTTGTATACACTCAGACCATGAGCACTAAGAGTGGTAGTGGCACATAGCAGGGCAAAGCTACTAAAACCGATACCTGTCGACCAGCCTGGGGATAACTAGAGAACTGGCAGCCAGTGGAAGTTCAGACTTGACATTGTGCAAGATCCTAAACAGTAAACCCCTAAACCCGAAGCCCCTAAACCCTATAAGCCCCTAAAACCTACAAGCCCCGAAACCCGAAGCCCTAAACCCTAAGCCCTAATCCCAACAAATCCCGGCGAACCGAGGCAAAGATGCAGCCCGAAGACACGATGCCAGCAGTGAGGAGCGAGTTCCCCTCACGAAGGACAGGGCTGAAGGCCTAAGCCCCAAACGCTAAACCTCAAACCCCCAAACTCTCAACAAATTTAAGGTTATGAGACTATCCCTTAGGGCTCCACTTTAGAGCTACAGTGCAAGAACCACCGAAGCCGTATCCGAAGTATCAATACTGTGACAGTCTGAGAGCCCCCCAAAGCCTTAATTTAGGGTTTAGGAATTTAGGATTTCAGGTTTAGGGTTTTAGGGTTTAGAGCAACGGGTTTAATTTGGAATTGAGGGTTTCAGAGTTTAGGGTTTAGGGTACTCTAACTATCCAGGCAATGAGCATATCTTCGTGCTTTCCCTTGCTTGACACCCAAGATGATCGACTCCGTTTGCTTCGGAGCCCCATCATAAAACTGGTAGAGTTGTTGTCGCCTTGCCGTCTCTCAGAGTAAGAACTGTTCTTCTCGTTCTTCTATGCTGGCGGTCCCCATTTTTGACTTCAGTCAATAAGGAAGGCTTCGTGTTTCATTAGGTACTAATGGGAGTATTCTGGATTGAGCTCGAAGTCCCAAAACCCTACACCCCTAAACCCCTAACCCCTAAACCCTAAACCCTCAATCCGTCCACCCCTTGAATTAAGGCCCCCCTGCCATGAAGGGGATCCTGAGTTAAAGGCGTCCCCTCCCATGGACTTCGGGCCAAGGCTTCGGGGATTGGAACCCTTGGCCCGGAGAGCCCACGACCCCCTTGATTAAGGAATATGCTCCTTAAGTTGCAGTGGCCTTAATATTAAACCCTAAACCCTAAACCCTAAACCCTAAACCCCTAAACCCCTAAACCCCTAAACCCTAAACTACCCTAAACCCTGAATTAAGGTACCTTCCTTACTTAAGGGGCATTGGGCTCCAATATTCTGATTCAAGGTACCTTCCTTAATTAAGGGGCATTGGGCTCCCTGGGTGACGCCAAACCAAGACGCAGGGCTCGAGGAACCCAGAGACTCCAATATCCCTTAATTAAGGAATATACCTTAAATTATAGTAGGATCCCTAATATGATTTAAGGTATATTCCTTAATTAAGGGATATTGGAGTCTGTGGGAATGAAGGGGAGGAGGATTTGGGTCTAAAGGTAGTAGAAGAGGGTTTAGGGTTTGGACCTAAGATAAGGGTACCTGGGACTACCAAAACCCGTTTTTTTTGTGGGGTACCTCAAAAGTCTGTATCAGGTTTTATAAGAAGAGCCTAGGCAAAAGTAGGCTATGGTAGTTTAGGCATGTCTGAGCACCGAAGCCAAGTCTTGATCGCAAACCAGCAGCCGACCCATAGTTCTTGAGGACAAGATCGAAGAGAAGCTTGACAGGCGCCTTCCGATGGGGGTTTTTGGGAGATGGGGCTATTTGGGGCTTTCCGAAAATTCGGGTACCTTATTTTAGGGTCCTTATAACAAGGATCCTACTATTTAGGGTACTATATTAGGGTCCCCTATTTTCGGAAACCCCCATTTTGGGCCATTTGGGTTTAGGGTTGAGGGTTCTATTGGGGTGTTGGGATATGGCGGCCTATCAGGGGGCGTGTTTTGGCTTGGAGGATGGGTCTGGGGTGTAGAACCTTGGGCGCAAGCCCATGCATTGGTGCTACACGTGCCTTTGAGGCAACGGCATACTCCAGAAACTCTAGTTCCCAAACCACAAGCAATCTAATTATTAAGTATACCAGCTTCGAGAAGTAGTGCTTGTAGCGGCAGCACAGGGCAGCACAAGTCTGGGCACTAGAATGAGGAGTGCGAGAGAAGTAACGTGCCTTGCATGCAAAGCCTTCAACGGTCACACGCATAAGCCATCAACGCCGAACCTCCTCGTTAGTGCCTGTATGCTGCACTCCCCCTCTCACACCCAATGTGTAAAGAACATTCACAAAGCATGCGCTCCCATGCAACACGTGATTAAGTCTGTGTATCCCGACCGTCCAAAGCCAGAAGCATTTCTCTCTCTCTCTCTCTCTCTTGCTCTTCCCTTTTTCTCTCTATATATATATATATACGTATATCAACATACTTACATACATGCATATATATCTATACCCGGAGAATGGAGAAAGTACTTCCCTCCCCCTCCCCTTCCCCACGGCAATCTGAATAAATTCGTAAACTAACATCGAGCAGGTCCCTAAACCCTGAACCCTAAACCCGAAACCCTGAAACCTGAACCCTGAACCCTAAACCCCTAAACCCCAATCCCTGAACCCTAAACCCTGAACCTTAAACCCTAAACCCTAAACCCTGAACCCTAGACCTTAAACCGCTAACAGTGTGAAAGGCCGCTGCACCTTACAAAAAAAAAGACTTTACTTAGTAGCCCAGTAGGTAAACTTTAACCTTTTTGGTATATTAAACCCCCTACTAATGGAAAAGTTTAAACTTTTTTGGGCCAGGGTACTGGGCTTCAAGGCTTAAGCCCCCTAAACCCTAAACTTTGCACCTTAAACCTTAAACCCTAAACCCTAAACCCTGAACCTTGAACCCTAGACCTTAAACCCTCTGACCCCTAAACCCTAAACTTTGCACCTTAAAGCCCAAGGCTCCTGAGCATCCTCTCTCCGCCCCCGACCCCAACGCCACCCGCGGCGCCTGAGCGCCCAGAGGAAACCGCGGCATAGCTATTGAGGGTTTTAGGGTTTAGCGGTTTAGGGTTTAGGGTTTAGGGTTTAGGGTTTAATGGTTAAGGGCTTTAGGGTTTTAGGGTTTAGGGTTTAGGGTTTACTTATGATCACCCTGTAGAAACCCTAATGTAGGCACCTAAATAATTACCTGTACTATTTTTGGGGGGGTTCCATGTTAATTATTAAGGCGCCCCTGTATAAACCCTAAACCCAGAGAGGGTTCTAAGCAAGGTCTTCTAAGCAAGGTCTTCGTAAGGATGTTCTCGGGTCGTCGAAGGCGTGTTCTACGATTTTTCGGGCTTGGTAAAGGGATTGTTTTTGCACTCCGACCAACTTGATGAAGGATCCTGCCACAAAGTGTTCAGATTTTTGATTAACATAGGGGCCAAAATAATTGTTACCTATACTATTTTGGGGGTTCCTTGTTATAATGGGTCCCAAAGCCCTACTCTAATTATGAAGGCCACTACACTAGAGCTTGCACGCACCAAACCGACCAGTTTGGTGACAGCGCGTTCAACAAGTTTAGGGTTTAGGTTTAGGGGTTCAGGGTTTAGGGATTAGGGTGTTCTTCTTTCCGAGCTCAGACAGAGAGCAGTCGCCAAAGTGGCCTTCGCGACATGCCACAGAATCTGAAGGTTTGGGGTTTAAGGCTCAGGTATATATATATATATATATATGAATATAATAGGTAGATATAGATAGATCGATAGGTAGATAGGTAGATAGATAGACAAATATGTATATAAACGTTTAGGCTACCTACTTTATGTGTCACAGATCCTAACCATGAAAATAGCTACCTCCCAAAAGGACTACCATATGACCCATAAGGTATAACTCCAAACCTTGCAGCAGAACCGTCAAAGCTTTGAGCTTGGGAACTGGGGCGCTAGCTTCGGGCGCGCTCCCTTTGTACAGTACGCTCATGGAATCGCCGACAAGAGCTGCGCAGGGTTGCTGGCAGAGTTCATTTTCGGGGTTAAGAGTTCGGGCTTTGGTGGGCTCTGCGAAGCAAGAACGGCAGTACGATGCTGCTGATGGTGGTGATGAGTCTCAGATTCTAGTCTGATGATGCTGATGATAGGAGCCGGAAAGGCAGGAGCAGAAGGGGAGTAAGGGGCGAGGATCTTGAAGCTAACGAACAGGAGAGAGACAGAGAGAGAGAGAGAGATCTATATATATATATATATATATACATATATAAGGGGTATAGAGGCAATGGTGATGTTGATGATGGCGATGAACACCGTCCAGACTAAGCCGACGAAGCATGTCCAACGAGACGGCGTCTAGGGTATCAGGCGGTTCATCGGAAGCGCTAGTTTAAGTTTATTGTTCGAGATTTTCGGCGCTGAGCATGCAAACACGAGTTGCACAACCAACATACGCAATTCAATGACGTCGACGATGTAGCTTAAACTGAGCAGAATCTGAGTCGGATCCGCGCTTTCGCGATCTAGGAACTCCATGTTTCCAGGAGCTACGTTGCTTGAGAGCCATTTTGGATCTGGGGCTTGAACGACGTTCGCCTTGATTCGCCGTTCGCCTTGATTCAAGATGGCCCGATACTCAGAAAATTCCTTAAGACAGCATCAGCAAGCCAGTTTGAACGGAGTAGGTTTTGCAGATTTGAGGGCTGCAGACCGTCGTGAGCCCTAAGGCCCTATGTAAGGTATGGGTGTCAGACATTCTGGGTGGAATCCGTGCCTGTGGATCTTCAGGCCGTGTCATATCCTATGCGGACGGACATCGGAAATGTTCCGCAAAAAATGGTAAGATGTAGAGATTCCGATTGGTGGTACCTGATAGCATCCTAACAGGAACCGCAGTTGGTTCTTGCGGATGTCTCAACTTGGACTTGGGACTGTAACTTCTTCGGTTTAATTTGAGTTTAACGAACTCACCAGGCTTCGAACCTCTTTGAGGCACTCTACCTAGTGTTCTACAACGTTTGCTATACGTGTTATTATAAGGCTCAGGACTATAACCCCTCTCTCCGAAAGATCGTAAACTCGAGCCTGGCTGAAACTCGTCAATCACAAAAAGGAAATACAATCGAGACTAGACGTAGCGACCGTGAGCCATTCTACCTGTTACCTGGAGCTAGGGAACTGTTTGCTTGACAACTTGTAGCAGGCCCAGTCTCAAGAAGACACCCTAAACCCTAAACCCCAAAGTTTGGGATGTGAGGCTTACGGCTCGCGCTTTAGGGTTGCGGCTTACGGGCTGCTGGAACAGGATATAGTTCTTGTCTCTGAGGTCATGATTCACGACAAAGCCCATCAGGCACGTGGTGTTGTTTGGTGTGTTCTCAGTTGCTACTGATAGCATACTGGGCCTGGAGATAAGGGCCGCTTTCATAGGGTTCAGGGTCCAGGATTTAAGTTCCCCCCCTCAAGTCCGCGTTTGTAAATGCCACTGCTACTGCTGCTGCTGCTGCTACTACTACTACTTTTACTGCTGTTACTACTACTACTACTGCTACTACTACTACGACTACTACTACTACTACTACTACTACTACTACTACTAGCAACTACTACTACTACTACTACTACTACTACTACTACTACTGCTACTCTCACTACTCTCACTACTCTACCTAATCTACTGTTACTGCGGTGCTTTCAGGAATTAAGCGACTTGATGGGTTTTGCGGCATAGAACCTCGGATATTGTGCAAACTCAAGTTTCACGTGCTACAGCAGAATGCTACATGCGATCTGAGCAAGACCCGTGTACTCCGAAACCCACCATTTACCTTCAAGGAGCCATTTGATGTTTGCAAGCTGCTGTCTAAGCCCGGAGAAGTTCTTTTCGGCAACACAAGTCCTATAGATGCTTTCATCACTTGCATTGCAGATGTGCAGTTTGGGCCACCGTTCGGTGATCTAGTCCCACCTGAAAACCACGGGCGAGATTTTTGCTTCAGTAAGAGCCAACGCGCGGCGCAGTAGCGGTGCACCAGCGATGCGAGGCAAAATCCACAACTGCAGCCCGAAGTTAGAGGGGATTTGCTTGCTCGGGTCATCATCATTATTTTCTGGTCCTCCTCCTCCTCCTCCTCCTGATCCTCCTGCCTGCTCCTCCTTCCTCCTCCCTCCCCCTCCTTTTCGTGCTCCCAGCAGAGGGCACGAGCCACTTACGAGACAGGAGCCACACACGAGGCCGTCACCAAGCACTCGCGAGGCAGGCTCCTCCCTTTCTTCCTTCCTCTATCTTTGTCTACTATAGAGGCCTTAATAATTACCTACACTATTTCGGGGTTCCTCATTACAGTTATAGTATAAAGGGCCCCAAAACCCTAGTCTATTGCGTCAACACATGCCCGAAACCAAGCCGCTTACGATTGAATTAGGCGGACCTGCAAGGGCCCCGGGAAAACCCGTCAAGTGTTGGAAAGTGTTGGAAATGGTCATCCGAGAAACCAGGCAATTTTGCGAGCTGATGGCCCCAACTTTGGTGGCACGTATCATTTGCTTGGAGAGTGCCTCGGCTGCAGACTGGAGCAGATAGCAAGCAAGATATGAGTTATATAGGTTCTGGAGGCATCGATGGTTGTTCACATTGGGTATAGAGTGGTCATCCGAATATCTGATAATTGACCGCTTCGGTTTCATGTTTGCCACGAATATGCGTACCAGTTCACTCGGCTGTTGAGAAGCCGACCTTCACACCGAAAGACAGTTGCATGTACTCCACTTGTACACATTCCCACTGGCTGTTGCTGCGGGGATCCCTGTTCTTACTGGTACTCAAAAGGGCTTCAAACTCGCAATCCCAGAACGCTTTGGGTTGAGGGCTCTTGGACTCGGTTGCGGCATCTCATGATGAGTCAGGGGCTTCCTCCCAAAGTTATACTTCAGAGAAAATCTGCGACAGATAGGGTACTGGCACAGTCTTAAGATCCTCATGACTGGTGCCCGAGTGCTCGCCAGCTAAGAAGTCAAAAGCGCAAGCCCAAAACCAAAACGTCCCAAAGACCCCGTCTGACAGAGTTTAGGGTTTGAGGCTTCGGGCTTAGTGGTTACATTGGGGAGCGGAGGCTTAGGGGTCTGTAGGTTGGGTTCAAGGTTTACGGAGTGTTAGACCTTGACCGAGCCGAGGTAGTGGGGATCCGCTAGACTGCAGGAAGGTGGTGACTGGCGATATCCCCAAAGCCGGGCCACTCCGCGGGGACGATGTGCCACATCGTATATCTTACACAGGTTGCGCGCGAGTTGCACTAGGCGGAAGTCCGCCGCCTCACAGTCGTCTTCTGCACTGTCACAGCATCACGTGCCCGTTTGTAGGCTGCCAGAAACGGTCATCGCTGAAGCCGTACTGTGTTTGGGTTCATTGAGAAATTGAGTCAGGACAAGCTGCGACAGTTGCAAGTTGGAGCATGCCTCTGTGCCAAAGCGTGTCAATGTCACGACATTGCACTTATCCCTGCTGACACGGGTCTGGGAACCAGGGAGTTCTGCGATCCGCCACCGGGAGGCAACTTTCCTCAGCTTGAACACAGATCTGAGTCACGACCCCATCATTCCCCCTTCATCCTCAGATCCTGGTGTGGTCACAAGGCTTCCTGCTGGGAGGGTCCTCCCCGAAACCCGGCGAAGCCCTAAACCTCGCTTTGCAGATGAGCTTGCGTCCACCAGGTTGCCTGTGAATGTCCGTTCCTACCATACTTCCGATCCCACAGCCCCTGACGGCTTAAGTCCTACACACGGAAGGAAAGCAGCTGCTTTTGTGTTTTGGGCCGATCGTTTGCCAGACTGTTCAGGCGCTCGGATTGCGGGTGGCTGTAGGATGGCCCATGCTTTCAACCTGGCAGAGTGCGCTTTGGTCGAAAGCGCTTCGTCGCAGGTGCCGCAATCGTCGGTGCAAGGGAGGTCCGTTTAATAAGCATTGAGAACCATGGGTCGATGCTAAGATGCCTGGTGTCTGGTGTGAAGCGTGCCCACTTTCTTGCATGCCAGCCTGTACATGCACTGCTTGGGTCCTTAATC